CAGAAGGATCAGAATACAAAAGATCACGACCCAAATTCCATCAGAACCAGAACCTCCTGATCCAGAACCATTTCTCTAGCGAAGTCCAATCTGGTCCAGTAATCGTCTCCAGTCCTACTGGTTCTAATCGGACCTGGGCCAGTCAAGCAGCACAGAGGCTCTGGACCAGTGGAACCAGTGGAACCAGTGGAACCAGTTCTGCCAGCTATTTCTGGAGGAGCTGAGGAAGAGGATGATGATGAAGCTCAGCTCCACATTTCAAAGCGATGCAGTAACTGCAGCATGTTGGTTCTGGTTCTGGTCGGGTCTATCACAGTGAGCTCACTGCCCAGCTTTAGAAACGGATTCTCAAGTTTCATGACATTTGGAAACATTCAGTGGGACGGTTCGGCCCGGTTCGGCCCGGTTCTATTGGACAAGGAGGTCTGGTTCTACTGGACCCAGTTTGATCCAGAGTGTTGGAAGCAGGAGGTTGTAGGTTCGAATCCCGGCCCATAATAATCAGTTCTGTTTTCTGGTTCTGAAGCAACTGGACTGAAGCAGAACCAGAACCAGAACCAGGCCAGTAAACCCGTGGCATCAGATTATAACCATGGTAACAACAATCCCTTTTTGTTGTTTTTTACAGTTTTAGAAAATGAACAAATCAAATTTAAATCTGCAGACCTGCGGACAGTGGGCGTGGCCAGTGTAGTGGGCGTGGCCCGTTTTGTTTTTAATACGATCAGAGATTATTATGAAGCAGAGGAAAGAGATAAATCTGTAATTTGATCATTTGGAGGCTCATCGCAGATTATTGATAAATAATTCGTGAAAACCCAGAAAATCTCCTGAACGTCGCAGAGCCTCAGGCGTAGCGCCACCTGTTGTCTGATCGAGCAGGAGCTTCAGATGGTCGGACGCGGACCAGAAGTCTGGTCGGGTCCAGGTTCTGATCAGAAACCACCGGATCGACCCATCCAGCAGAGGAGAAAGGCGGACTGCTCCTTTAATCCTTTGAACAGGAAGGAAACGCAGCAGTTAGCTTATCGGCTGCCCCGCCCACTTCCTGCTGGGGCGAGGAACAGGATGACGACCTCACACCCTCCCAGGCTGCAGGACCGGTCCCAAGGCATGATGGGAACAAGCAGAGGTCTGAACATTCCTGCAGGCCTCAAACGCCTCACAGCAGCCTGGACTTGTCATGAAGTTTAACGATGCGTTTACAGCCCGTAAGAAAATGAGAGTTTTCAGTTCTGATGCATTTCATGATAATAAAAAAATCTGGAAATTTTTCTGATAATTTAAAGTTTAAATAATAATAATAATCTTTTACTGTGATAAACAGAAACTTATTTTAAGTATTTCTGCAGTTAAAGGGTTCAAAGGTTAAAGGTGACCAGTTCCTGGTCTTGGGACCGACAGGTTCTGGTTCTGGTGGGTTCAGGTCAGACAGGTTCGTCTGTCTCCGTCTGAGGGCTCTAACCTTTGACCTCTGACTCCACATTGAGTCGCCTCTGAATCATTTTGTGCACTTCGCTCACTTCCTGTTTGGCAAAACGGAACAAGATGACTGGGAGGACTGGGAGGTTTTCCTCAGACTGGTCGTTTCCTGTGCAGGACGGATTTCGGTGCTGAAAGCTGCAGCTCCCTGAAGCCCCGCCCCCTGCTCTACCTGCCCAGGTGGAGGCCAGCTTGCTGGAAGCCCCGCCCCCATCGCTCCTGGTTGCTCAACAGGTGAGCAGAAACTTTGACCCAGATGAGACCAGAAAGCCTCTGAACCTCCAGAACCAGGAGAAGAACCAGCAGAACCGATTCTGGTCCACTCCGGTTTCCAGCTCCGGTTCTGCTCTCCGAACGTTCCACCCAGCAGGACCGGCTGCTGTTTGGATCCCGGTTCTGACCCGGTTTGGACCGGGCCTGAGCTGCTGAAGGTTCAGATTTATCTGACGTGTTTTCCGGTCAGTAAAGAGGCGGGACTTCCTGCTCCTCCGGACTCACCTGTCCAGGTGAACCTTAAACTGGACCGGACTCGTTTTGCGTAATTCCCCGTCATGACGTCATCCTGGAAGCCTCAGCTGACAGGTTCTGTTACTAAGGTCACTTAGTACCAGATGGAGTTAGTACCAGATGACGGTTCCGGTCCGGTTCCGGCCCGGTTCGGAGTCTGACCCACCTTCAGCGGCGCCCCGAGCAGCTTGCGGATCCCGGGGATCTGCTCGCTCAGCGGCTGGTCCTCCTCCAGGGAGACAGTTGGAGGTCTCCGCGGTTCGGGAAAGTTCGTGCAGATGAACGGGTCCGAGTCCTCCAGGTACTGGACCCGGCAGGTGACGGAAGCCATGCCGAGAGTCAGCGTCCAGACTGCGGCTGGGCGGCTGAGGGAGAGTCGCTGCGCCTCGCTGCCCCGCGGAGGAAAGTTTAAATGAAGCGGAGCGCAGCAGGACAAAGGGGCGGGGCCTAGCGCTGACGTCAGGCCCGTATTTGGAACTGGCAATTTACCAGCCATAACCAAAACAACATCCGGTTTGGCCTTTCAGAATAAGGCGAGCCTGTCTTTGGCTGTAGAAAAAAAATCAGATGAATAAATTTGATGTGATTTTCTGATTCCAAATAATAAAGAGGTAAAAGCAAAGATGAGAACACGTCACTATGATGTCACTGCTCAAGTATGATAGTCTGCAAAATAAATGACTAAATAATAAAGTTATCATCATGAAAGTAAGAATGGAAATAAAATGGGATCTTAGCTCAAGTGTGGGGCGCCCCCTAGGGGCGTGGGGGGGGGTTAAAAAAGGTGTTTCACTGTTACCATGGTTGGTAGTTTGTTTTATTTCAACCTGAAGTGTGAAATAAACTTCAGTGGAGCTGAAAACAAATGTGTGTTTGGGTTCATGTCCCACTTGATTCTTTTATTTGGGGGATTTTATTGTAATCCATGGGAATCTCTGGCTTAGATAATGGTGATAATATTCAGATATAATACATATTATATAATTAAGTTGGACAAATTCACATTGTTTTCTGTGTTGAATGCAAGTTTTGCATATTAAACAGTTTATTAAGCCATTTATTTATTTGAGTATTTACAGGTTCAGACATCCACAATTAAAATAGAAAAAGAAAAAGTTTTCTGTTCGATCACATTTAACACAAATACAGAAAACTGTTTTAAATGTAATATTTAGGATTTACACTGAAAACATTCTCTCACCTCCATTTCAAAGGCAGTTCTGGGTCTGGTTCTGATCCAGTTCTGCTGCTGGCCATTCAGATCGGCTTAGCTGAACTCCAGAAGAGGCAGAAATATAAATCTGAAATAAATCTGTGCCAACTTGAACTCACAGGACGCAAACCTGAAGCCAGCAGGAGAAACGTTTTCATCGTCCAGCAGAAACAGAAGCGAAGATTTGATGGCTTCACCGTAAACAGCTGCTTCTGCTTCAGGCCTGCAGAACCTGCAGAACCTCTGGGTAACTTTATATCTTCACGTTTTCCAGCATCCATCACAGTGAACGCCAGGCTTTTAATGTGAAGGACTATCCTGGAAGTTCCGGCTTGGAGGCGAGGCTGTTTGCTCACGTCAGAATGACATCATGAGCTCAGAGAGTCTCGTGCAGCTGCTCTGGGATCAGTTTTAAAAACTTTTGTTTCCAACAGAGCATGGAGCTGCTCCACGGCGCCCTCTGGCGGCCGAAGCGCTGCATCGCATCTGAGGACAGTTAGTACTGATGTTTTCTTCTTCAATTTCATTTTATTTTCAGGTTTCATCTCTTGTCAGTCCTTCTATCCTCCGGAGTTTTGCCTTTTAATTCTTCATGACTCCTCTCAGCGCCTCCTGGTGGCAGCATGTTTGGAGCAGCTGGAACAATTTTTGCTTTTACCTTTTTACTTTCGCAATGTTGTTATTTCACGTAACCATAGCAACGGGGTGTTTTTTACAGCTGCGAGCAGCTGATAAGCATCTCAAAAGCTCAGATGAACCATGAACTTTGACCCCAGTTCCAGAGCAGCTGATCAGGAGGCTGATGGAAGCTCAGCCATGTTTTGCAGGAATTGTACCGAACTCCAACGTCTCTGCAACCAAACAGCAGCGACTCGTCTGCTGCCTGGATGCTAAGCTGTTAGCATGTCAGCCAGAGGCCTCTTCACATTCACTGCCACACTGACTGCTACTGGAGATGCTTCCAGCCCACAGCATCACCATTCACACTGACTCTGTGGTGATTCTGGGATCATCCGAGTTACATTTCTCTTCAATTTGGAGATAATGAAGGATTTTAATAGAACTGAATGATTTTCTTTGTTTCTTTAGGAATCTGTTTTGTCTGAAATCTGTGATATTTTCAAATGAATCGATTTTGTTTGGCTGCATCACAATATCTGGGAACAGAGCCTGATTCTGTATGTGTATAGTTGTAAAGTATAAACTTGTTTTATTAAAGTGGTTCTCCATCCAGAACTGAACTTTCTGAGTCACGTTGATGTTTTGAAGGGAATCAGCAGTTCAGAGATTAATGACATGATATGAATGATTTCAACTTAACATGTTGGGATTGATAAATGATTATTTGTCCTGCACAAATAAGTGAATAAAATGAGCAATAATAATGTATTATTATTACTGTATGGATGCATGTGGGATGATCTTACAGTACGTCACCTGCAGACAGAAACCTGAAGCTAAAGCTGCAGATCTCCTTCTGTCAAGTTCTTTTCTAATTTGTGCAGCTTCCCTGCTTGAGAAGGGTTGGATTCATTCATTTTATCCTCCATTTATTTAGTGTATCAGGACATGTTCACATCTGGTGCAGAAGCAGGTAAAAACCTTCAAACAAACCCAAAAGATAGATAAATAATTACTTGTCTATCTGTAAGTTTACACAAATTAATTTCAATCAAACTACAAAGAAAACAAACCATATAAACAATACTGAGCAACCCATTGTGAACCAAACCCATAAAGTAACTAAAGTTAAATGAACAAGTAACTAAACTTAAGTTCCTTAACCTTAAAATACATTTCAAGTTCATTTTTACAATTACATAATATTTACATTTATTTAAACATACAAATATCTACTTTTCAATATTAGTCATAAATATTTATTTCATAAATATAAATAGCTTCAAGTTGTTATTCTTCCTCATGTAATGCTAAATCAATAAATAGTTGAGCTTAACACCTAAATCCACTATTCAGCAACACAACAATCAGTTCGATCAATCAATCAATCAATCAATCAATCAATCAATCAATCAAATCAATCAATCAATCAATCAATCAATCAATCAATCAATCAATCAATCAATCAATCAATCAATCAATCAAGGCCTCTTCAGTTCAGGCGTGTTGGTAAATGGTGTTAGTGAAGCTGGAGGTCCGGCAGGAGGAACGTGGGGAGCTTTGCAGTCCGATCTCATGAATAATCCAGCTCGTGTTTTACCGGCGTCCTCTCTGCCCGTCAACAGGTTCATCCAGATGTGCGCGAGTCAAAGAGCCTCAAACTCCAGTCCTGTGTTTGGATTTCTCTTTTTTTTTCATTGCATTGTCCGTCCCTCATTTAAGTCCGTGGAACACAGTGAGCGCATTTTTTTTTTTCTTTTTCCGATTTGACTTCACACCTTCTATTGATGATGCTTTTTTCAACATCATCCCAGATAAACAATCAAACTGACCTGATCACATGGTGCAGTTCATGGCAGCTCCAGCAGGAGGCAGCAGGGCTCCACGGCGCCCCACGCCTTGCAGCGGGTTGCGTAAGAAACGTGATGAAAGACACTGAAACACACACACACACACACACACACACACACACACACACACACACACACACACACACAGTCTGTGGTTGATTATCTCGCTGTCTTATCGATCTATCGATCTATTGATCATTCTGTCACATCAGGCCCACAAGGCTTCGAGCAGGCCGTTGCCATGCAGAGTTCAGCTTCATCTGGGAGGAGAGGAGCAGTCAGAGGACAGCATGTAGGACTTCACTGACCTTTGACCTCACAGCTGAGATCTCCCAAACCAGTCAGAAGATCCTAGTTAACCCAGTTAGATCACTGGTTCTGGTTCAGCCTCCAGTAAACCTGTCAGAGTGGGAAGACATCAGGATGTACTTATAATCTTCTATAAATCACGCCAGTCTGGATCAGCTGGGAGTCAGAACCTGGACGGAGTGTACTTACTTTCATCTGCTGGGGGTCAGTCAATAGGGCGGTAGGTCAATAGGTCAGTCGGTCGGTGTTGGTTGTCCAGCTCAATGTGTCTTTGAGTTAAAAGATGTTTAAAGTTTAAATTATGACTGAAGCATAAACCAAAAATTTAAAGTTTCTTTAAAAAGAAAAAAGAAACAGTTGAAATAAATATGGTTCCCTAACCCTTTTCCTGTTTCTGGTTAAAACCTGAATGAAGCTCAGCCTGGAGGAGCAACTGGAGGCTGGCAGCCCGCCAGATTGATGAAGCATTGGAGGTAAATTCATCCGTTTATCTCCAGTCTCAGGTTTCATCCCTCCAACCTCGTCCTGCTGACTCGGCTTTTTCTCCCTCGGATCAGCAGAACCTCCAGAACCGCCCAGCTGCTGTTTCTCAACCTCTGGTCCAGCTTACAGAGGGAAGACGACGTCCTCATTGCAGGACAGACGGCCCGGGCGTCCCGGACTTACGCAAGAAAAGTGAAGGGCAGACAGAGTCCTCCTGACCCCTGGGTGACCTCTGACCCGGCCCGATGTTCTGCAGCGGGTCGGTGAGGTCCAGCATCATTATGATAGAAACAGAAACTAAAAAATATTTTGTCATTTCTGTCTTTTGTGTTCAGATGCATCCAAAGACCAGAAACGGCTCAGAAAGACTTAACTGTCCAACTCTTCACAGCATCAACTCAGAACTTTGACTAGGCCCTCGTGCTCTGCACTCCAGTTTATTAGTGAAAAACATTTAATTTCAGTTCAACAGAATCATCAATAAACGTCACATTTTGTCTCATCAAATACAAAGAGCCAGAACCAACCAGAACCAGAGCCAGAGCCAGAACCAGAACCAGAACCAGAACCAGAACCAGAGCCAGAGCCAGAACCAGAACCAGAACCAGAACCAGAACCAGAGCCAGAACCAGAACCAGAGCCAGAACCAGAACCAGAACCAGAGCCAGAACCAGAGCCAGAACCAGAACCAGAGCCAGAACCAGAACCAGAATCAGAACCAGAGCCAGAGAACCAGAACCAGAGCCAAACCAGAACCAGAACCAGAGCCAGAGCCAGAACCAGAGCCAGAACCAGAACCAGACCAGAACCAGAACCAAAGAACCACCAGAGCCAGAACCCAGAACCCAGAGCCAGAACCAGAACCAGAACCAGAGCCAGAACCAGAGCCAGAACCAGAACCAGAACCAGAGCCAGAACCAGAACCAGAGCCAGAGCCAGAGCCAGAACCAGAGCCAGAACCAGAACCGGAACCAGAACCAGAACCAGAACCAGAGCCAGACCGGAGCCGGAACCGGAACCGGAACCGAACCAGAA